ATGCGATGGCTGAAAGCCAAGACCTGCAAAAACAATATGCAGATGAAAAAGGAAGAGGTAAAGTGGAAAGTTCTAAGGCATTGAACTCTAAGAAACCTCCTACAACTGTAGCCTCTGCTATCTTCCGGACGACGCTTCGTCCACGGTTTATTGGACCGATTAAGGTTGTGGCCAAGCGGGACCTAGCGTAAACACTAAACCTCCCCAAACGGATGCACAATCACCCGATGTTTTACGTGGGCTTGCCCAAGCCGTACCGGAATCCGGCGCAAGTGAACGCGGAAGCGTTGGCGCCGGAGCAGATCTCACGGGCCCTCGGCGACCCAGAAGTTGAACCAGCAACTGGTTCTAAGCACGGAGTGCAACAACCTCAATTTTCAATAGAGCCAAGCGCTCCACCATTGCCTGCAGCGGTGCAACCACCTGCTTTACGGCTAGGAGTCTCGCCGACAGAGAGCGGTAGTCCTCAAGGCGAGGCAGCCGGCGCACGACGTGCTTTAAATTCTTAAGAGCGTTCTCACAGCGATATGCTACTTCAGCATGACGTTCAGCGGAGCTTTGATCACGAAGAACCTCGTCCTCAGAGCTCGAAGAGCATCACGAGTCACTGGACGGCGGTCGACGCGATCGTCACCGCCCGCCAACGAGTCTTCTCGACGAGAACGGTGACGTCCACTATCACGTGGAACGTCTAGTGAGACGACGTCGTCACCAGGGTCAAACCCAATATCTGGTGAAGTGGTGTGGATATTCCGACTCCGAAAACTCGTGGGAGTTTGAGACGCCACTTTGGCAAGATTGCCCAGATACCGTAGACACTTCTGATCAGAAAGATCAGGATGTCCAGCGTCATCATACGCCCCACGCTTCCTGGCAATAGCCAGTGAAGTAGAAGGACCATGAGCTGAGCTCAAGCAGTGGCCCTGAGCTCTTGCAGTCGAAGACACAGAGCTCGCGGGCGCATCAGGGATTAACCCAAATGTCGCAGGATGACAGTCCGAAGGAAGTCGACGGCGTGCTTTGAGTTTGGATAAATCAAATCGGTGGTGTCGCTCCACACACACGTCCACTTCTTTGTGGCTTGACTGCAGGTTATACAGTGAGGAAAGTTTCCGGTGCCGTTACACCCATAGCTCAAGAGCGCTTCGTTATCTGTAGTGCTTTCGCCAGGGGCGACCACTACAGGTATTGTCCGCATTACGGGTACACGAGAACCACCTCGTTGAGCACGTAGACAATTGCGATAAGCTTCTAACGGAATTTCTTGTGGGACCAGGAAGCGAGCTCAAAGAGCTTCCTGTGTGGCAAGTTCATCTTTGGTTTTGGCTGGGAGCCGATGATGTGGACGCGTAACGATCGAGGTACAGCGTCCTTTGTTTTCACAGCGGGATCCGCAGGGCAGAAACCATATTCCACACGAGGGTAAATGACTGGCCGTGGATGGGTGCACTTTAGAGCCGCCCTATAGGCAGCTTCAAGCTGCCGCCTCTGAGACCCGTCGAGTTCATTGGTGATTACTCCACGTTCCTCAGTTGACGAGAAATCAGGGAACAGACATGGGGTCCACAAGGCGCGAGCAGGCCTCGTATCACGCTGCTGGCGCAGCTCACCTTCCTCGTCATCCCATGCGGTAAAAAAAGAGGTGTCAGACTCATAGTCGACCACATCCTCAACGAAGCCACTCGGCATTATAAGCGTGTACGGAGCGCGACGTTTTTCTCATCGAGCCTAGGATATACATCCCCCCGTGCCGCGGACACACTGTCCGACATCGCACCGCGTATGGGAGAGGAAGTTGGTCTCTGCCCGTGCTCGCTGTCAGAACCAGCGAGACTTGGTGACTACATGTCGTAGACACAGGACTCATTGAGCAAGGAAGTTGTTAGACAGATTGAGTTGCAATGTCTAACGGACACGCGAGTCTCGTTGAGGCAATAGTCGATTAGAACTGTAAATGTTTTCAATCTTAATGGGGGAAGCGCTACGCTACGGCAGCCCCGCTGCAATCATGGTACCTGACCACACATTGAAATTACATAAATCACCGATCTACATGAATACTGACTGCTTCGCAGCCACAAGATTCGATGCGATCTTTGAGCTATATTTTTTTACAGACGTCAGGACCCTGATCTAAATCGAAAAGACTTCAGGTACGCAGTTCCTAGCCACATCCTGCACCAAGGTCAAAGAGCAAAATAGGTTCGCAACATTCGCCCCACAACGCTTCATGGGCCGATATACCATGATTTGTTGTACTGTTCACAAATGAATTAGCACAGGACAAATCGTGCCAGTATGAGAGCTTTGCCCACAGTTTGATAGTTTGGCGACAATACCATGGTGTATATGGCTCAACGCGAGCGTTAAATGAATAGGTTTTGTCAACATTATGGGGCGTTAAAAGGTCTATCTCAATTAGTCGGCGTCAGAGTAGAAAATCACCTAGTGTTAAATTTCACAATTCTCGTAGCGCTAAGTTGACACTGACGTGGACACTCGCCTAACATTCGGTTTATGCTGACAACAGCTCGGCATATGCCCACGAGTATTCTAGTATTCCTGTACAACTACATGTCAAATGTTAAATTTGAAATTGGGGGGTGTTGGGAAGCACGTTGCGTTGCGAGAATCTGCTTTTACTCTTTGAATACAAATATAGAGGGTATACCTAGTCATGAATGAAACGGGGATACACGTTCCCCTGAGTGGAGGGCGACAGTTTATAGGTGTGGATTACACAAGTTGGTGTAATCACACAGTGGTGTGGCTAAACCGTAACAAGAAGTCACCACGTGGCACTTTTGCCAATAGTAATTTAACTAAATTTAACTAAATTTTATATTAATTAGGTATTACTACCTTGATTAGGAAAATTTAATGTTTTAGATATTGGCGGCTCTGCCGCAACTTAACCAATTCGATACAGTTTCAATTTGTACGGAAGATTTCCTTTATCTTGGTAAGGTTTTCAGTACTCCAGGAGGCAGTGGATTGCGATCCGCTGCGCTCGTTCTGGTTCCTGTAAAGATCAAAATTTCGCTGACCTTAGCTTAGCTTCCTCTTAGCAAAGATCTACGGCATCCCCGCTGCAATGAGAGTCAACTACGCCAGGTAATCATGCCAGATGAAAATATCGAGATTCCAGAAGGACCTGGACTGGGAATAATCCAAACACGTTACCAGATATTGGCTATGCATTTAGTAAGCAAGTCGGCTTCAAATCTGCTCCACGAAGGAATGGGTCTTCTTTCACCTTGCTCATCGATCCGGGCCGACAAAGTATACCATTTTGTGGCTTGTCACCTTCAGCTTCCGAGATTATGAAGACTTGTGTCAGCTCTCTTAGATAGTCTCAACATGAATCCGTTGTGGGCGTAAATTTTTTTCAGACACGCTCAAGGAACAGCGTAATTGGATCCAGTGGCTCAAGGCAACCTGAATGGACAAACCACAACTGCTAATTAGAACAAAGACAAATAGTCCACAAAACCTGTTGAGACGTTACTTTGTCTGCGATCGAACTTTCCACACTCGTATGGATTATAAAAATGGAATTGTGATTTTAGATGAAGTATGCTCAGGGGTGCTTATTTTATCTTAGGAAACTAAATCATAACGCACTTCCGTTTTGACTACGACCGTAAAGATCCAAAAAAGTACGGTGCAACATTGTTTTCAAGCTTGTTGACAGTGCATGGTTAAGCAAATTTTGTCAAATCTTATCATCCACATCGGATACAAATATATTTTATCTAACTTTAGGATTTATGCACTGAAAGAAGTTAATTAGGTATGACAGGCATCAATTGGCGCAACGCAATGAGTGAGAAAATGCCGTTCAAAACCGCAGTTCCTCCGCAAGTGTACACGCGCACAAAGAATTAAATGCACTCCATGAAGTCATCAATCGGTAAATGTTCCACCGTGGATTTCTAGCCGCCAAAAAATCTATTGCACACATAAGTATAAGAACTCAAACCGAAGCAATTGCCACAGGGATTTAACGCTGGCAAAATCATTTGCTTAGGAATATTTTAGCCAGATCGGCAGCAGAAACGGTCTCATTGACATCACAATTTGGACAATTTCGCTCTAACGGTCAACAAAGACCATTTTGCCGGATTTTCCTGACGTATCTTCAAAAAGTCTAGATTTCGATTCCATACCATTGTTTTCACTCTCTGTTACTGGGTAAAGGTGAAGTAGCATGCGGCGAATATTTTACACTTCGACACAATTCACAAGTGCGCGACTATTTGCTGTATTCGAACATGTTACACCATTATTACGTAGCACTTGATGAGTCATATGTCTTCTCTTTTTCGAGAAGTCCGGATAAAGATGTTCCGTGGGTCTCGTAAGGAAAATTCGTATTTGAACTCCTTGTCATACGATAAAATCAGACGTTGTGTATCCAGTGGATCCATACTGTAACACAGTAACATTGAATAAAGATATTATTAAGCGCGAATTTAAACTCTCAGAAAAGCGATATGCGATTCAGAATACTTACTTTCCGATGCTATGAAAAGCACTTCACAAGTTAAATGTGTATGACTAGTACAAAATTGTCCGTGCATAACATCATCATTGTAACACGAAAATTTTGTATTTTGGACAAATTCAAAGCGCGTCTGCCACGGAATTTTGCCAGCCAGTTTTATGATCGCCTTCAACGTACATGTTAAAGGAAATATTATCATCTAGACGTTCTGCACGAGAGAAACGTCGACAATTTCGCTGTGCATAAGGACGCAAGATCTCAAATAGATTGAGCCAAGAAGGTGTATTCTGAACTTGGCAAGAGCATACTTTACAAATTGAATTTTTGTGTCGTGGTTGAAATATTTACTCTGTCGCTTCAAGCTACCAAGATTCTATCGCAGTGGCGCGGTCGTTCAGCATAGCCGATGTCAAACGTCGCAGCATCAAAGACAACGTAAATTGGCTAGTCCGGTGTCGGAAGCACCCTAAAAAACAAGCTTTAAGCATTCTTAACAGCTTCGAAAGGTCATCTGCTCTCCCACACCTCAGATACCTTTTAAGGAGATCATGCTACATTGCATAGGCTGAGCTGTATTTTTAGTGAATTTAAGCCACTTTTTGAGTTCTCTTGAAAAGAGCGGCTCTATCATATTTACTAAGGTCTTGATAAGTAAGAGATCAGCCTAGCCACCATGTTCTACTGTAGCATGCTAGAAATACTTAGATAGCTTTTTTGAGCAGATACACTTGAGCACTGCTCGTAAGTGTTTGTTGTGGATTCTCACACTCAATATTCCTTGCCATGCAGGACGGTGGACTATCAGCACATCGAGATAGATCTCTGCGTATGTACTGTGCAGCCGAAGGTACTGAGCGTTAGACAGTTCGGGGTGGTTAGATCGTTAAATGTCCGCGGGGTACCCCCAGAGCATCCCGCTCTTGATGCTACTGAAGTGAGAGAAAATATTACTGTATCTCATGAGCAGTTGATCTACGCAATTAACTAGGTCAAGAGCACTGAAGTTAGTGCTGTTGTATATTCTTTCGTGGCACCGGCATCTGCAGGCTGCATGTAGCTTTTCAGCAAGACATATATGCCAATGGCTGGTTTCTTTTCTACTGCAAAATGTCGGCACAGATTCATAAGTTTTACCCTTTTGCAACAGTAAATCTTGTTTCTTGGCACGCTTCTTGGTAGCAATTATCAAAAAATTACAAAATATTCGGATGTCGAACCAATGAGGAGGTTGGAACAACGCCGGTGACGGGTTTATCATGTCTTGATAATATCGCAACATAGGGTAAAGTGACTCTGCAAGATCTTCCAGAATAGCTGCTTCACCCCTCACCCTTCGGCTCTTTGTGTATTCTCAATGAAAGAATCACCTCGGTAAGATGATGAGCTTAGCTCCTTTACTATAGGTATCAGAAATAATTCAATGTGTCCACCGTCTTGCAGTCATTTGTATACCTTTTTTCGTGATTTTTGCCACGGCTTCTATACCTGAAAATCCAACGTATAGTCAACACGTGCAGAAAGAAGCCACATTTTAAAAAACATACACTTTATGAGACAGAAGCTAGATTGTCTTGATTTTCAATGTTAGGATTTTATGAACAGCTTTGAACCGGCCCGATGCTTCTAGCAATATCTTTGCTACTTACCTTGATCATTGCGTTCTGTACCAAAGCTACCAACGGTTTGTGCTCGCGCCACACTATATTTTGATTTCAAGATGATGCACTAAGAAAGAGGTGTGATGTACCTAATGCGTTTGGCTTCCCGTCGATCCTTGATTTAGGGTATTTTACGAAGCCATAAATAAAATGAGATCGTATCTCAAATGATAGTTCTGATGAGAGATTTAAGTTTCCGGAACATACACGCTAGGACTAAGCTTTCTCTAGCTCAGAATGCTGGTAGCTGTCCGACTCTTCGTGGAACCGAGTTCCGTACCCCGTATTACACAATTAGGCTCTTTCGGTCAGTGGGGCCTCCAGCCCAACCAGCTATCACATGTCCATGGGGGTGCAGATACACTTCTTATGTGCGATCGCCCGTCTACCTAAGCGACCTTCCCCCGGCTGCCTTACTTCGTATCCCATGTGTATCGAACCAGGCACCTCCCGGTCACAGGTCAAGCGACTAACCACTTGAGCCCAGGGTCGGTAAATGGGGGCCTTGAATCAAGCGGCGTTTGTACTGTCAAGGGATTAAGAATATCAACAACAATACAATAAGTGTTCTGGCCGTGAGACGCACAGATTAATTTTACATACTTGGCGACTTAGCATATTCAATACATTCAAGTATTCTTTTTTGTTTACAGCAGTAGCACATGGCACAAAAATGTACAATTTTCGACCTATAAGGGCGTTTTATGGCTTAATATCCCGGAACGGTAGAGTCGACGGCTGGAAAAATATGGAAGTATACATCCTACTTCCATTATTGAGATTCGCGTCTCTAAAAGAGGTAACCACCAAACTTAGCTCTTATGAGGTTTCCTGGGGTGGGCATTTTAAGGCCAGCCCTGCGTAGCAGCTCGACCCTCCAAATTTTCCAGTCGAGAGAGAAGGGAAATTGCAGGGCTTGAATATATTTGTAACAGCATTGAATATTAACGCGCAGTTCAGCGGCCACGAAAATACCTTCTCAAGTCTCATCCTGGTTAAGATCTATTTCCTCTAGCGAGCGTTCACCTTTCGCAACTCGGAAACCGACGCTTGCGATTCAATACTTGCGTTTTGCAGCTGCTGCGACATTCACTGCTTTCAAAAAGGCGTAGTGGATACTGAAAGTATCAATGCACCCCGCGTCCGTAAGAAGACGTTTAATAAGTTTGGATACTATTACCAACTTTTGAAAGAGATATATAGATGTGAAAGCTACTAACTTTAGAAGATAGACTCCTCTTTCGAAGAAATACTAACTGAAAACGAAATTATTTAGCATCCATATTTCCAAACTTTTATTTAACGCTTTGCGTAAGACTACCGCCCCGCGTGTCCCACGAACCGCTGCCTTTTGAAGCACGATCGCTACTATCCCGTATTGAATCGTTCTGGTGCTTCAAGCCGGTTGCCTGAACTCCGAGTGACAACAATGTGAAAGCGTACCAGATCTCACCGGTGTAAACACTCGTACAGAAGGTGTAGAGCATGTGCATTTTTCGGGTGAATAAGACGCAACTTTACTTGTGCCGCCCATTGTGAGGCCGAGCCACTGTTAATATAATGTCGGTATCTTTGGTGTTAGCCAAAAACAGATTTAACGGATCGTTTAGTATCCACATGATCGATCAGCTTGCTTGGCTAGCTCTCGAAAACCGAAATCTACAAAATGGTCAAAAAAATTTTGTACATTCGAGAAAAGTTTTCTTGCATCTCACTTCAAGATGTGAGCTCATTCTGGACCGGGGTTGCTCAGCGCAGCAGCGTTTGATAATGTCGCCGAAGTAGTTGTGTGTGATTCCAGATGAAGAATTTGTGCCTCGCCTATTTGTGGGGTTGAGGCTAGCCTAAAATGGTCGCCCCATGTAATTTGACAACCTTATGAACAACGCGCGTACAGACTATCGCCTCGTGATATTCAATAGAAAAAAGTCGGAATCGCATATGGTGTAGTATATCTACCTATGTTTCCGACCTTGTAGCAACCTTCAAAGGGACGACTTGACCACGCGGTAGTGATCAGTACTGCCTAACGCTGTACTTTGTCCCGAACGCTGGCGGATCGGCAACGATTTCCTCCGGAAGATCAGACAAGTGGTCACAGCGGGTGTGAAGGGTTACGTTTATCCGCGCTATGACTTATCTGGGCTCAGCTTATGCAAGGAATGCCTACAGCAGGTGTGAGTCAAAGCGCTCTTCGCGCGCTGTTATCGGTTTGGCATTCCTTCTGCAAACCCCATTCGGCAACCTCCTCCCTCTAGACCATAGTCACCTGCATGATATTGCTGGACAGCAGCTCATGCTTTAGATTCTGCCCGAATCCTCGAAAAGGCGACAGATTGACGATGCGTAAAGAATTTGCAAATCTTTTATTTGGAGATCGCCATGGAGCTTAATCCATGTATTCGATGGCTTCTACGCACACTTGTGTGGCGTAGTCGTCCACTTCTAGACTTTGCAATGACTATGTACCGAAAGCCAATGCTGGACTGCCTTGGATATCCGAGTTGGATTATTTAAACTGCGGTGTCGCGTAGCAACATCGCTTGCGCCGTTCAAAGGAGGTCATGCCATTTTTCTGCACGGAGAAAATATGCTTTATAACATTGCCCTGGGCGAGTATTTTGTTATGACTAGACAAGACATTAATCTTCTGGCTGATGCCGTGTAAGCCGCGACATGTTCATGAAACGTTTAAGTGCTTAAGTTACCAGAAACGTCAGATACTAAAAATGTGTCCAGGAAGCAACATAAGGTTGCCATTAGTGATGGCGGCAACGATTTGCATCGACTTATACTATCGTGATTTAAGCCAGTCAAATGGCAAACACGAGATTTGACTTATGCTATCAGCTTTCTGGCAAGCACACCCAATATGTAGCTCAGAGCAATAAACGCCGTATCTTCGGTTTAGTGTACAAACACATTATACGATTATTTTTAAACTTAGGGCAAAAATCAAAAAAACCTTGACCATTATTTTCTACGCATCTTGTCCCGCATCAAGAAGATTACCATAAAAATGAATTGGTTTCTGGAACTATTTTTCTGTGTCACGCATATGATCTTACCTAAGGAAGAGTGCGACATCACAGACGCTATATACAGAGTGTAACTCCCCTACTTGGCGCCAATTTCCTGTAACAGAAAGACGAATAAAACATGTTTCCAAACAATATGTATGCGACCAAGCTTTCGGTGCAAACGCGAAATTTTAACAACAATCTTTGCAGAACATCATGACAGTTTACAGTGTTCTCGACGTAGATGTCTAGTGTATTAAATACTAATTCAACTCAGCAAACTCTCTGCTTAGAGTGAGTACTTTGATCGGGATGCTTTGGATGCGGCTATTTATAGCCTAGGGGTGATCTAACGTACAAGCAATGTTCAACATTCTGGTGGTGCAGCTATTGGGGCCTCGTTTGACATATGCATAGACCACTTCTGACAATATTTGGTATCATTAGCGTGCAGAGCACGGGCAGTTGTATGTAGAGATACATACTAGGCTCTTACGATCTGTGCTCAAGTGTTCTATCTGCCAATATAAAAAAACATGAGTTTTTGGCACCAATAAACATTAGGAGGTTTTATTTGGTTGAGATCATTCCAGTTAAATAAGATCGTAAAGGATTTGCCAGTGTGATCCCAAAAGGATGTAGAAATCAATTTGAGTTGGCATTTAGTTGCACAATAACAAAGCGATTTATGATAAAAAATACCGATAAACTGTCAACCTCCTTAAAAATGTTGTCAAAGGACGTTAAGGTTTCTAATATACTGGGCCATCTGTTTAAAACTGACTCATTCGCGTCACCTTTGATGTTTTTGCGTTTGCCGCAGGCTGGGCTCTTATTCAAGCAGATGCAAATAAGCCAGAATGCATCACCAATAAGAATACTTGAAGGGTTAAGAGCAGGGAGAAATTTCCAGTTGTGACGAGGGGCAACTCGCTATTAGCATACTCTATTCAAGTGTAGGGTACGGCTCAATCCAGTTGTAAGTTTTACATATCTTGCGTCGTTATGCACTGCGAAATCATCACTAACCTTCTCGCACAGAATGTCATGATGATTTATTTTCTCCAATATACGCGCTAAATGTTATTTACAAATTCGGTCAGCTTGATGTGGTGTCAGACACGCTTATGCGTCGCTAAGCAAACAAAGTTAACTCATATCTCGATCGTAACGTAACGCGTCGACAATACTACCCGTACGGCGTTCGCGTCATACATAATTGGAATTATAAGGTTATTCTCAAAGTTTGAGAAGTTAAGGCCTTCACCCTCGTGAATCGCTTAATTTGAGCGTTTACTAGTGCTACTAGCCAGAATATTAGTTTGCTCAATAAGACTTGCAGTATCATAGCACACATCGACTTATACTTGTAGTTGTTTCTCGTGTTGAGAAAACCTATTCAATTCTTTTATACGAGGCAAAGGATACGCTTTAAACGACCTTCTTGACAGCGAGAAGACGTATGGCTGATTGAGCGATATGTAATGGTGTTTGACATGTACAATGGATTCACTTGGTCGCGTGCATGTGAGTAAAACCTTCATCACATGCTTTGTTTTTTATGCATGTAGCTAACTGATAGAGCGTAGCACCATTAGTTAGACCTTACTTTGCTTTTTTATAATACTCTGCCGGTCATAGCGGCATAATGGCTTTCGTAGACTGTTACAGCAAATGCCGTATATCGCTGCTGCGGTGCTTGTGGGCATGTAATTATGTTATCCTTAGGTTAATAATTATGCCATCATGTATTGCCTGTGTCAAGTGTTTTAAAGGACCCCATAGCATTTTACAGCAATATTTCTGGCTATCTTTGTTCTAAGTGGAGTGGTTGTAAAGTGTACATGGTAAATCATCAACAAACGTATGGTCAAATTGAGCGCGTGAATTGTGTGGCGCAGATATAAATATGCGGAGCGACCACAGAACTGGGGTTACATGCTTCCTATCATTGCGTTCGCGAAAAGCAACACATTTCATCTTTTCATCTTTTCATATGAAATGTTTACGCTTTTCTCACGAACATCTTCGTGAAGTTGCTTGACGTTTGGTGAAGACGATTTGTTGACAGCGGTTGACTCGCTGATAGCAGCCCATGAGCAATTTGTCAAAGATTTTATTTAACGATATTGGTGTCATAGGCCAAGTGCACGATGGTATGTACAAAAGAAACACTTGGCTCCCAAAAGCAGAAAGCACACGTGAATTTATTAAGAAGTATTTAGCTTTACTAAGCGTACTTTAAGCAGACTAATCAATCTACATGCAGTGGGGCTGCCGTAGCAAAACACTTGAGGAAGCGTACTTTAGGTCACCGACCTTTTGTTCCTTCCAAGAAAAAAGTATGAGTTAGCGAATTGCAATCCACTTACTCCAAGAGTGATTATTGCCTTCCCAAAGCTAATCGACTCCTCGGTTCCAATTCAAAAACTGTTTTTTATTTATCATTTTATCCTAATTTTAAAAATTTAGATTTTCCTAAATATATTCAATATATATAGTATAATCTACATACATGCATAACTACTGGCTACCTAGGCCCGTACTGTATTCTTGCATGGGTGTGGTCACACCAAAATATGTCGTGTGACACACACCCCTGTTACTAGGATTCGTGTAACCCCGTTACACTCTCCCCTATAAAGATTGAGAACATTTACAGTTCCAGTCGATTATTGCCTCAACGAGGTGCGCGTGCCCGTGAGACACTGCAACTCACTTTGTTGGAGTTTAACAACTTCCTTGCTCAATGAGCCCTGTGTCCACGACACGAAAATTATCAAGTCTTGCTGGTTCTGACAGCGAGCACGGGCAGAGCTCAACTTCGCCCCCCGCACGGGGAGCGATGTCGGACAGTGCGTCCGCGGCACCGGGGGATGTATATCCTAGGCTTGATGATAAAAATGTCGCGCTCCGCACACGCTTTCAATGCCGAGTGACTTCGTTGGGAATGTGGCCGACTATGAGTCTGGCACCTCTTTTCCCGCATGAAATGACGAGGAAGGTGAGCTGCGCCAGCAGCGTGATACGAGCCCTGCTCGCGCCTTGCAGGCCCCATGTTGGTTCCTGATTTCTCGTCAACTGAGAAACGTGAAGTAATCACCAATGACCTCGACGGGGAACAGAGGCGACAGCTTGAAGCTGCCCATAAGGCGGCTCTAAAGCGCGCCCATCCACGGTCGGTCATTTACCCTCGTGTGGATTATGGCTTCCGCTCTGCGGATCCCGCTTTGGATGCGAAAGACGCGATTACTCGATCGTTTCGCGCCCTCATCATCGGCCCCCGGCCAAAACGGAAGATGAACTTGCCACACAGGAAGCTCCTTGAGCTCGATTCTTGGTCCCACAAGAGATTCCGTTAGACGCTTATTGCACTCGTCTACGTGCTCAACGAGGTGGTTCTCGCGTACTAGCAATGCGGACAATACCTGCGGTGCTTTCGCCAGGGGCGAGCACTACAGGTGACGAAGCGCTTTTTGAGCGATGGGTGCAACGGCGCCGCAAACATTTCTCACTGTATGCCTTACGGTTGAGCCACAAGGAAGTGGACGTGCGTGTGGAGCGACATCTCCGATTTGATTTATCCAGACTCAGAGCACGCCGTCGTCTTCCTTCGGATTGTCGCCCTGTGACGTATGGGTCAACCCCTGACGCTCCCGTGAGCCCTGTTTCTTCGGTCGCAAGAGCTCAGGGTCACCGCTTGAGCTCGGCTTATGGCCTTTCTACTTACTGGCAATTGCCGGGAAACGCTGGACATCCCGATATTTCTGATCAGAAGTGTCTACGGTATCTGGACAATCTTGCCGAAGTGGCGTCTCAAACTCCCACGAGTTGTCGGAGTCGGGATATTCCCGCCACTTCACCAGATGTTGGGTCTGACCCTGGTGACAACGTCGTCTCACTAGACATTCCACGTGAAAATGGACGTCTCCGTTATCATCGAGAAGAGTCGGCGGCGGGAGTGACGACCGGGTCGACCGTCGTCCGGTGACTCGCGATGCGCTTCGAGCCCTTGAGTATGAGATCCATCGTGATCGGAGCTTTGCTGAGCGTCATGCTGAAGTAGCATATCGCTGTGCATACGCTTTTGATAATTTGGAGCGCGTCGTCCACCGGCTTCCTCGCCTTAACGACTACCGCGCTCTGTTGAAGCAACGCATTCACCATTGGAGATGGAGGTTGTTGCACTCCGTGCTCAGAACCAGTTGCTGGTTCAACTTCTGGGTAGCCGAGGGCCTGTGGGATCCGCTCCGGCGCCAACGCTCCCGCGTTCACTTGCGCCAGATCCGGATACGGCTTGAGTAAACCCACGCAAAACACCGGATGGGTGTGCGTCCGTTTGGGAAGGTTTAGCGT